ATTTTACACTCTATCAGAGCTAAAAATTACAAACTATGGAGCGTGTGTCTTTTTTTAATCACGACACTTATTTTTTCCTCGTGATAATATTTTTTTTTTTCGCGTTAAAAATCGAGTGTGGTCAAAAACGCTCTTGAGAGATTATTATACACATGTAATAAGAGTTTTTTCGAGATCTCGATGTATTAATTATGTACACACGTTCGTCGCCATCTCTGCCTTTTTTTTTAGAAAATATATATATACTCAAGACAAATTATCGAAAGGCAAAAAAAAAAAAAATTGCGAGTGCTTCAGATAAATACAAGTGGCAGATTTAAAATGTACAAAAAAAAATTAGATACCGCTCACGTATATAATTTTAAATTAAATAAATAATCTTTAATAGATAATAAAAAATCACTGTGGTTGTAACCCCATTTTTTTCCCCCGCTATTTATATATTTATATTTTATCTCCCCCTCTTTTAATATTTATATATTTATATTATATATAGCTATATTTTATTTATATATATCGTTTTGTATATATATATTCTTTTTTTTATTTTCATATTTATATCTCTCGTATTTATATATATATTTGCATTTGTGTAATCACGCTAGGTATTTAAACGGTACTTCAATTAATTAGCGATAGACTTTAATTAGCTCGATTGAGACTCGCAAATGGTAACCATTCGTTTGCATTTGTGAATTAAGATTCACTTCCCACCCTCGCAACTCTCCTTCGAAAACCCTCTCCTCTCGAGAAAATGTGACGTTTCAATGTTAAAATGAGGTGGTAAATTTATGAGAGAAGATTTTCTTCTTTTATTATAAAAAGCTAGCAAAAATTGAGCGCAGTTTTTAATTTTTTTCGTTTAATGTATAATAAAACTGGTAAATTTAATGTCATATAGTAAATTTCTTGCTTTACTCAATTTGCATATTTACTGATTGTCAGGGTTGCCACAAATATTTAATTTTATTTTTCCCTGATTTACAGACATTTTCATTTTTTTCCTGCCCCTGAAGAATATTCTGATTCACTCTCAAAATTATTAGATAGTAAAAAAAATATTCTTGATGCATTTATTTGCAAATTTCTTTAATTGTAAAATTATTGGAAAACATCAATAACTTCTTTTCTAAATAAATATTTAATCATTATTATTTTTCCGTAGGAATTAAAATTCTTCAAAACATTCAAATTCAAACCTTTTTAAAATTCAAAATTTTTTTTTTTTTTTTTATAACTTATAAGAATATTATTACAAAACATGAAGAGGGCGATCACTCCGAGTCTTCGACTCGGAATGATCGCCTTCTTCATGTTTTGTAATAATTCAAATTATCATAAATTTTTTCAAAAAAAGTTAATTATTTACAAAAATCCTTCGCAAGAATTCAATTATTTTTACAATTTGCAAAATTTCTCAAGAAAATTAAATTATGTAAAAAAATGTATTAAAATTCTTAGAAAGAATTCAATTATTTTCATAAATAATAAATCGATTATTCGGTAATTAATTTTTAAATTAACTTTTATTAGAAAATTCTACGAAAATTCAAGTATTTAAATTCAAAATAAAAGAATTTATTGAATAATTGAATTTTTTTAAAATTGAATTCACATAAAGAATTTTATCAACAAAAATGTTAAATAATTGAATTCTTTTGACAAATTTTAATACAATTTTTAGGAATAATTACATTTTTCGAGGAAATTCGATTAAAATTGTACTAAAAATAATTGAAATTCTTTAGTGAGGTTTATTATTTATGAAAATAATTAAAATTTCCCGAAGAATTTTATTAAAATTTTTCTAAAATAATTGAATTTCGAAAAAGAATTTTATTATTTATAAAGATACTTGAAATTTTGACAAGATTTTTTTTTTTAATTTTGGAACATAATTGAATTTTATTCAAGATTATAAAAATAACTGAATTTCTGTGAAGAATTTTATTATCCTTATTAATAAAATCAGATGTCTGTCTGTACATTGCTTAAAACTTCAAAATGTTAACATGATTAGTTATTATGGACATCAGAGATTCCAAAAATGTTCTTAAAAAATTTAATGTATGTATGTATGTATGTATGTATGTATGTATGTATGTATGTTTGTCTGTCACAAAAACTTTGTACCCCAATCACACAAAAACATGTGAATCGATTTAAGTCCAACTTGGTAGGTTATTAGGTATTGACCCAAGGAAGGTTTATAAATTTACAGATTTAAAAAATATTAATTAGAACGGGAGATATTCAATTTTTTCAAAAAATTCAAAAAATCGAAAATTTCAAAATTTTTTATTTTTCATGGATTGCTTTTGAAGTTTATATACTTGAGTATTATATGTTATTTAGTCACATTTTAGCATAACTTTGCAAAAAATAAAGTCCTATAACTAATATGTAAGTATAAAAATGTTTTCAAAAAATCGAAAATTTCAAAATTTTACATTTTTTTATGGATTGCTTTTAAACTTTCTATATTTGAGTATTACATGTTATTTGGTCACATTTTAGCATAATTTTTCAAAAAATACTATTCTACAACTAAGATGTAAATATAAAAATATTTTCAAAAACTTGAAAAATGGAAAATTTCCAAATTTCACAATTTTTAATGGATAGCTTTTAAACTTTCTAAAAATGAATATTATATGTTATTTAGTCAGATTTTATCATAATTTTGCAGAAAATACTATCCTACAAGAAATATAAAAAAATTTTCAATATATCAAAAAATCGATACTAATTACTATATGAAGTATAATTCAGTAGTATTTTTGGAGTCTCTGATTAATATTTTGATGTCAAAATAGTGCAATTCAAAATTATTTATCAAATCAATCTAATATTTTCAAGAAGTTCAGAAATATTGAAAATGGAAATTTTTTATGATTAAAATGATTTCGCAGGATGTCAAGAATTGTAAGTCACCTGTGATACAATACAAGCATATTATGCCACTAGGCAAAAACTTACATGTTAAAACGTTTTTTCATTTTAACTCTAGATTTAACTTTAAGAGATGTTTTGAGCAATGTAAAGACAAAAGTTAACACGGTGTCTATTTTTGTTTAACAAAATTCCCTGCTTTGTCCAAACTTTTCACGGTTTATCTCTTTTTTGTCAAATTTAAATTTACTTGATTTTATCCATAAATAAATCTACAAATGGCTATAAAAATTTACTTATTTTATGAAAATACTGTTTCTTAAGTTCATATAAATATAGATTGTATTACTTGCTGTCGTACAGTTTTCTGTTTATACTAATACATTTAACTGGGTATCTACCAAACGGGAAAAACTGTAAAAAGCTGGGAATATGCCGAACCGGGAATTTTCCTATCAAATTAAGAAAAAGTTTCATTATATTAATTCGCTTTTAAAAAATTGCTTTTTACTTCAATTTTTATTGATGTATAATATTTATGAAAACAGACCCGAGTCAAAATTTAAGCCCTACTTTCAGCCTAAAATTTAGGTCTTATGTTAGGTTTTAGCAGTCGTAACGTAGGGTCTACTTGCGATACAATTAGTTCCAATTAGACTCTACTATAACTCCAAAAACTGTATGGAAAATTTAATTTTTTTAATACATTAATTAAAGTACTACAAATTGATAAATATTCTTCTCTGCATTTGAATTGGTTAAAATAACTAATTTGATAACAAAAAGTCAATCACTGATTCAAATAGTAATATTTTCCTACTAAAATAGCTATAATGGTAACTAATTATTATTTTTTTCCGGTCAAATTAAATTCCCTAGCTATTTCCTGATTTTCCAGATTGGTAGAAACTTAAATGTATTGGTAGAAACTAAAACCCGTCGAAGACGGGTACGACAGCTAGTTTATTTATATAATTGTATTCTTGCAACGAATTTTATCGAATAAAAGTGTAATTTAACGAAATTATTAATTATTAATTCTTTATTATTATTATTAACGAAATTCAATTCTTTTTACGTTGCGGCAGCACAGCGGAAATTTATACAAGTTTATAAAAATATTTTTATTTCGGTGAAGAATTTTATTATTTATGAAAATAATTGAATCACTGTAAAAAATGTTATTATTAAAAAAAATAATTGAATAATTGCGGAGAAATTTATGAAAAAATTTGTAAATAATTGAATTCCTGTGAAAAATTTTATAATTTAAAAAAATAATTGAATTTTATCGAAGAATTTCATTAAAATTTTTCTAAATAATTGAATTTTTTAATAATATTTTTCGAAAACTTAAGGGAATAATTTAATTATTTCGAATAATTTAATTATAATTACATTCGAAATAATTGAATTCTTGGGATGAATTATATTATTTATGAAAATAATTGAATCTCTGTAAAACTTTTTCTTATTTATGAAAATAATTGAATCCCTGTAGAAATTTTATTATCTATGAAAATAATTGAATTGTTTCGAAAAAATTTATTAAAAATTTTGTAAATAATTGAATTCCAGTAAAGTTTTAACAAGAATTTTATTAAAATTTAAAAAAAATTGAATTCCTGTGAAAAATTTTATTACTTAAGAATATAATTGAATTTTAGCGAGGAATTCCATTGAAATTTTTATTAATAATTGAATTTTTAAATAATATTTTTTTTAATAATATTTTTAATAATTCAAATATTTCTAATAATTTAATTAAAATTACATTAGAATTTAGAAATAATTGAATTCTTGAAATAAATTATATTATTTATGAAAATAATTGAATCTCTGTAAAACTTTTTTCTTATTTATGAAAATAATTGAATCCCTGTAAAAATTTTATTATTTATGAAAATAATTGAATTATTTCAAAGAAATTTATTAAAAATTTGGAAAATAATTGAATTCCAGTAAAATTTTGCCAAGAATTTTATTAAAATTAAAAAAAATTGAATTTCGAAGAAGAATTTTATTATTTATAAAGATAATTGAAATTTTGATAAGAATTTTTTTTTAATTTTTGAACATAATTGAAATTCTGAGAAGAATTTTTATAACTTTTGAAAATAATTGAATTTCAGGAATTTCAATTTTTTCCAGTACTTTTACTAAAAATCCCTGACTTTTCCCTGAATTCCCTGACCTGTGGCAACCCTGATTGTCCTTGAAATTTATTGTTACTCATTGCATAAGCAAGTCTGATTGGAAATTGTCTTTTTACCATTTTAAAACAAAAGTTTAAAAAGAAGTCTACATAAAAAATAATTGTCTGCCAATAAAAAGTTGTCTAAACATTTTTGGGCAACTGTAAAGTGTTCCATCAACAAAAATTTGTACTAAATAAAAAATTTATTTTGTTCAGTTGAAAATAAAAGTTTTCAAAATTATTTGTTTTAATATTAATTGTGTCTAAAATATTTGTGTCTTTCCTGTAAAGATTTGACTCTCCGTCGATTTCGGAACACACCGAATAAAAGAAAAAATTTCTCCCATTCTCTCAGAAAACGTCACAAAAGGATTTCTTCAGAGTCACAAAGAATCTTAATTCTCGTTGTCTTTGCCTAAAACTGGCCTTCTTTATCATCCCCGCCAAAATTCGCGGGAAAAAAGAAAATTGTCATGAACGGACATATAATGTCACAATTCGAATCGCAGCGTAAATGCGGAATTTGAGATCTGCGACCCGCCACTTCTCCTGATCTTGAGTGATGATCTTTCGAAAAGTACTTTGCACTTTTGAAAAATTGAACTCTGACGCAGAAGTTTTTTTCAGTACACCGAATACGATGATCGATGTGGCCAAAGATTTGGGATTGGTGGCAGGCTCCCGTTCCAGGATCAAGTATCCTTGGTACTTAGTGAAGAATCCTCGTCCTGACTTCCCGGATAGGGTAGTCCCATTTTTGAGCCTTGTTGAACGACAACGACGCACTTTCGCATGTGCTTCTCCAATGTGCTGGGAACTGAGAATGGCATCTCGCAGAATCGACATTTGTACGTGTCCTTGCCGTGCCTGCCGTGCGTCTTCATGTGCCTCGTGAGTTTTGAACTTTGTGCACAGGCGTAGGAACATAGTTCACATTTATAGGGTTTCTCACCTGTGTGTGACCTCCTGTGAACTGTGAGATTTGAACAATTTTTAAAGACCTTCCCACAGTATTCACAGGTGTCGTTCCTCCCACTGCGCTCTTTTTTTAGTAGAGGACTCGGAAGTCCTTGTAGTGAGAGACTAGAAGTCGTTGCTTTGGTTGTCTTTCGGATATCGCTGTTCTCCAAATAGTGATGACCGGTCATCCAAAGACCTCCAAATTCCGGTGCGGTGGATCTGTGAAATCCGGAGAAAATATTTGGCGTTGAGCCTAAATTGTAATTTGTTGGTGATAGAGCGCTGTCCTTTTCTTTATTATTGTTCAGGGTGTTTGTGAGACTAGCGGGCGATTCTGTTTTGATGAAACCACGATTCAGACCTGGTTCTTGAAGCGCTTGTCGATAGGCCTCGGAGTATTGACTCAAGTTGCCGAGGCCGAATTTTTCGATAAAGTCACCTACTAAACTGGGTTTTTGATCGATTCTCCCCGAATTGAGGGGACCGTTCTCTTCGCTACTTTGTCCTTGGGTGGTGCTTAGATCCTCGGGTGTGTTTTCCTCAGCGTCATCTTGATCCTTGTCGTTGTCATCGCCATCGTCGAGGTCCATATTCTCGTCACAACTACTACCATCGTCGGGGACAGTTTCGACACTACCTTGAGGACTCGCAGGGGGATTCAGAGCCTCCTGGTGCTCTTTTCTCATGTGTTTTCTCAGTTCTGAGTAAGTAGACAACTCTAATTCGCAGACTTCGCATCTCGTCTGAGAAATTGTTTTGGCTACCGTCTCCTGGTATTGATGACTCTCCTTCTCTTGATGACTCTTCCGGTGGGAGATGAGGTTCGACTGGAAGCGAAATTTCTTGTCGCATGCCTCACAACTGTAGACAGTTTCCGACGTGTCGGTGATGATGGGTGTTGAAGCAACCGGAGGACTTGTTTTTTCACTGTCTGTGGAATTGTTGTTATTGTGATGTCCGGTGGGACTTTGGGTATAGCAAGGTGGTGAGTTCTCTTTCTGATGATTGTGAGTGAGATTTGTGGGATTTGACGAAGCTGGACTCGGTGGTTCGACTGAATGAGCTGTTGGAACAGTTGATGGTACCACTGATGAATTAAGATTCGCTACCGAATTATTAAGAGGCACTGCGCCTAAGGCCGGATTAGCGAGGTTCCTTAGACGCTCCGAGTAAAAATCCATGTTCGATTCTAAAATTTGTGGATGACCCTGACTAGTGATCCCTCGACTTTGGGCTAAATTTGCTAAATTCGCTAAATTTCGGGCATTATTCAGAGTGTCTAGAGAGCCTCTGAATTGTGAGTCGCCCAAGTTTAGTCCATCCATTCTTCGGAGGGGATCACCTAAATTCTGTAGATTTCTTGTTGCTGTTTGTAGGTCCTGAAGTCCTCGATAGCCGACCATGTGGGCCATTAGATCGGGTGGATATAGTTGCGAATAACTTCTGTCTAGATGTTGCGTTGTGCTGTGAAGTCTTAGAAAACTGAGAGGATCGGCAACTAGAGTCGCTGAGGTTTGTAATTGTTGTCGACCACCGCTACTGCCACTTGTGTTGGTACCGCCCGAAGAATTTGCAGCCGAGGAACTTCCTGTTGATTTCCCGCTGATATTCAGATGATTTGGCGGACTCAAGTGATGAGAATGGGTTGGCGTTGGAGTCGTGGGACTTGGGGTCGGTGTGTTTGACGAGGAATTTGCTAGGGATGTTGATGATGTGTAGAGTCTGGCTCCATGTAGAGTTTGTGCGTGCTGCAACATCTCCCATGCTGAAGACAGACGTCGGGAACATTGGGAACACTGCAACCATTTTGGCTCTGTAACAAAAAAAAAAATATTTCTCGTTAATAACTAAAATTAGAAAATAAATTCTATTCTAAAACTCAAATAAAGTCGTACAAATACTATTGCATTATGATTGTATTTGTATTAAATACAACTGTATTAATTTTTACAGTTCTATAATGAATTGAAAAATAATTTTCGATGCGCGAAATTGTGGGGTAAGGGTGCATTGTCATCTGGTGGAGAATATCCCTCGTCTATCGGTTTTTTCTTTTTGCAGCGCCCTTAATTTTTCCGATCGCGATTACTGCCGAGTTCAATTGAATTCCGAATTCAAACCGCGAGAGTCTGTGTCAAATTGACAGAGCCCTTTTTTATAGGGAATGGAAGCTTAAAAATAATATCGGCGAGGACAACGGCATTGAGTATGAAAGAGGGTGGCTTGAAACTGACCCTTAACGACTTGGCTCTCTCCCTTGTTGAGAGACGTTGAACGGTACGGGTTTTGAATTTCAATGTTTTTAATCCGAAATATCAGATTTTTGGCCATTTTTCACGCCCCACGATGATCATCCGCCAACGATTTCGTGGGAGATTTTATTAATTCGAGACTTTCGCACCCGAAGGGGCCCTTTCCAAGGAAAGAAAGAGAATCGCCATGTGTTTAGTCCGACCCTCGCTTCCTAAGAATCGTTTGAGAGACACAACCTCAAAAACATATTTCGTCGCCTAGTTATTTGGGTGCGAGGGTTGTGACCGCGAATTTATGACCGTATTCCTAAAATCGCAATTTAAGTTTCCTTCTTTCCTTTCCTTTCTTTTTTCTTTATTAAAATCTTAAAACAGATTCAAAACAAGAATAAGAGTATATAAATAAACGGAGTAAAAATAAATGTTATTCCTTTAATTAAATATGTTGTTTTTTTTTGTCTTCTTTTAATTCGATAAAATACGTTTTTCTTGTGAAGATATAAGTTGCGAGAAGAAGCGAGTAAAACGTATCATTGCACGCGGCATTCGAATGAGTGAGCGTTTTAAAAAAAGTTTTGCGAATGAAAGTGAACGGAATTTCAAATGGATGATTAAGGGCTTGGCAAGACTAACGATGAAAAAACTTTGAAGCACCAGACAGTATCCGAAAGACTCCTAAAAGATTAAAAAGTTCAGCGCTTCATTCTCTCGCTCTTGTTTCCGCGATGCCTCCTCGCAAACGAGAGGAGGATAGTCTCTCTATCGAAGACAAAGGATGCTCGCAAAATAAAGCGCTCCTAATTAAAGGAAGAAGCAGAGAATTAAAAACAATCTAAGAAAACTTTAACAAGACCTTGAAGTGTGGACGTTGCTCAATTTTCAACAAGATATTCCCCTGGGGGAATGTGCGGGGGTGGCGAAGGGAAATGGAGGACTTATGAAAACAATTGTAGCAAGTTTTTTGTTTAACTGTCAGAAAAGAGAGGGAAAATTTTTTTAAAAAATTTGCCAAAGAACTTTTTACTTATTAATATTTAAATATTTGTGTGTTACTATGGACGATTTATTAAAAATTCATTATTGTTATGCACGTCCTACGTATAAACTGTCTTGTAACGAGAGTATGTAGTAGTGGGCGAGACGTTTTTCTCCCTGTGAGCTGTTGTTGACCTTTCGCCAAACTATTATGTCGGTATTTATATCGTCTTTATATTATGGTTATAACACGTCGAAGCAACACGTCAAGTGAAAGTTGTGATTTCCACAAAGTTCGACAGTATTTTGAGGAAAATTTCCAGGACCAAAGTTGACAAATCGTACACTTAGTTTGAATCCTCTTTAAAAATAACTGTTTGGCTAAAAATAATTTCAAAAAAGTAAGGAGAGAAAGAAATGAACACATCAAACGTTATTATAGATTTTCACTAAATATGTTGTAATTTAGAGACATGTGAAAAGTTTCACAAATGGTGTTAATCTTTTTAGACAGGGAACAAAGAATACCTACGAGCAAGGGTTTTTTTATGGATGTTAAAATTTTTCACGAGTCATCGAGAGGTTCGTTTTGTAAATTTGATTTAAGGATTTAGAAGGCATATATACACACAGACAAAATATGTTATAACCCATCAGAAGAATGACCAACGAAGGATTATTATAAGAGCGGGAAAAGAAGGCGGGGAACAAAAAAAGTAAAAATTATTGCTAGTCATTTCGAATCGAATTTTCAAGCGTGACGTATGTTGGCATATTGTTTTGCGCTCCCGGCATTTGTCGCCTCGTTGGAAAAGTAGTTTCTCTTCTCTTTTTTTTATGACGCTCTATATATCTTTATTCTTTTTTTTTTCTTCACACGCGGAAGTCGAAAATATTGTCGATTTTCCGGTCTCTTTTTTTCCTTCTCTCTCTTCACTTTTCTTCGGCACGGAAAAAAGACACATGAGACCCGCGGGGGCGAGAGATAAGCAAGTGCTCGAGCATAATAAAGGTGTATCGATTCACGGTCCTGCGTCTTTTCATATGCAAACCTCGTGGGTGGCCATCCGTTAGGATTATTTCCTCAGATTTCCGGCTATCTTACCATCATCCCCCATCGGATTTCGACCCCTAATCATTTTTATCACAAGTTTAAACATTACTTTCTACACTCTGATGTCTAATTTGAATTTAATCAAGAGGCATGATTAATTGTTGTTTGAATTAAAAAAAGAGAATTAAAATTCTCTCCGCAGGGGGTTAATATACACACACCAAAAAAATAATTAAAAATATAAATTTTTCTGGCAACCCTGTACCTAAAGCAACAAATTTTAACTTCTGTTTATAATTTTTAGAGTGAAAATACAGAAAGAGAATTTTTACCCCAAAATTCAACAATTTCCATTAATAAATATATTTTTTTATGGAAATTGCATGGGAAAAAATAGTTAATAAATTTATGCCGAAAAATGTATAAATAGAGAAAATAAATCACGTGACAGAAAAGTATAATAAGAAATAGGAGAAAAATTGTGGGAGGGGAAGAATTTTTATTCTTCATCGTGTCATTATAGGATTCCTGAGAAAATTTGAACGTGTTCCATGAAGGAAACGATGCGTTATGGATACGAAGCGAGTAGAAATGTCACGTCGAGCATTATTGCTCGGCGATAGTGACCGAACCGATTTTCCTCAGAAATTGCCCGTCAAATTGGCCCCCGACGATTAGGAGCAAATCGTTTGGAAAGTCATTGTTTAAAAACGATCTGAACCTTGGTCATCTTCTGGATACTTCCGTTTAACCCTTTTCATGCTACGTTTCATCCCAATTATGTACCTTCAAATGCTGCGTATAGTTGATATTTCTCCTTTTTCTCTTATTTCGAAAAAATAGAAAAGAAATTTATTCGGAAAAAATAATTGAATTTTGTGTTTAAATTAAATATTTAAACTAGGTCCGTAAATCCCGTAAAGGTCCGTATTTTACTTGCCATCCGTAAAAGTCAGTTTTTTTGAAAAAATGTTCTTAACTTGATTGAGAAAAGACGAAAAGTTCGTAAATTGAACGATATGATATAATTTAGAGAATTTTAGAGAAGTTACAAAAGATTGCCGAAATTTAATTATTTTCAAAACTAATAAAATTCTTAGCATAGAAATTCAATTGTGTTCAAAATTTTTTTTATATTCTCGTCAAAATTTCAATTATCTTTAGAAATAATTAAATTCTTTCCCAAAATTCAATTATTTTTAAAAATTTTAATAAAATTCTTGTCAAAATTTCAATTATTCTCAAAAATCTTCCTCAATTCAATGATTTTCAATAACCTACTATTTTCATTAAATTTTCTAAAATAATTCGATTATTTATAAAAAATTTAATAAAATTCTACGCAGAAACTTTAATTATTTTCATAAAATAATAAAAATTTCACAAGAATTCAAGTATTTCAAATTTTTCATAAACTTCTTTGCAATCAATCAATTATTTTCATAAATAATAAAATTTTTAAAGGGATTCAATTATTTTTGTAAATAATAAATTTATTTTTAGGAATTCAATTATTTTCATAAATAATAAAATTCATTGCAGAATTTCAATTATTTTTAATACAATTTTAATCAAATTCCTAGAAAAATTCAATTATTTTTAAAAATTTTATTAAAATTCGTCAAAAGAATTCAATTATTTACAAATTTTTTTATAAATTTCTTCGCAATCATTCAATTATTTCCATAAAATAATTAAAATTTCACAGGAATTTAATTATTTACAAATTTTTTATGAATTTCTTCGCAATTATTCAATTATTATCATGAATAATAAAATTTTTACAGAAATTCAATTATTTTCATAAATAAGAAAATTTTTTACAGAGATTAAATTATTCTCATAAATAATATAATTCATCCCAAGAATTCAATTATTTTTAATGTAATTTTAATGAAATTATTCGAAATAATTGAATTATTCCCTTAAGTTTTAGAAATATTTTTAAAAAAAATTCAATTATTTATACAAATTTTAATGAAATTCATCGCTGGATTTTAATTATTTTTACAAATAATAAAATTTTTCACAGGAATTCAATTATTTACAATTTTTTTTTAATTTCTTCGGAATTATTCAATTATATTTTTATTATTTTTACATAATAAAATTTTCTACAGTGATTCTATTATTTTCTTAAATAATCAAATTGTTTTCAGGAATTCAATTACTTTCATAAATAAATAAAATTCATCGCAGAATTTCAATTATTTTTAAAACAATTTTAATTGAATTCGTCGAAAAATGTAGTTATTATTCTTAAAAATTTTATTTACATTCGTCAAAAGAATTCAATTATTTAAAAACTTGTTGATAAAATTCTTTATGATAATTTAAATTTAAGAAACATTCAATTATTCAATAAATTATTAATTTTTGTATTTTAATAATTGAATTCTAGTAGAATTTTCCAATAAAAATTGATTTAAAAATAGATTTCAGTTAAAATTTTAGATTATAATTGAAATTTTGTAGAATTGAATTATAAAGAAATGAATTTAAAAATACGCAAAGAACTTTTTCAAAAATTAT